CTACCCAAACACTGGGTTGTTACATCCGACCCAGAATCTGGGTTACACAAAAACTACCCAAACACTGGGTTGTTATGTCTGACCCAGGATCTGGGTTACACAAAAACTACCCAAACACTGGGTTGTTACGTCTGACTCAGGATCTGGGTTACACAAAAACTACCCAAACACTGGGTTTTTACGTCTGAACCAGGATGTGGGTTACACAAAAACTACCCAAACACGGGGTTGTTACGTCTGACCCAGGATCTGGGTTACCCAAAAACTACCCAAACACTGGGTTGTTACGTCTGACCCAGGAGCTGGGTTACACAAAAACTACCCAAACACTGGGTTGTTACGTCTGAACCAGGATCTGGGTTACACAAAATCTACCCAAACACTGGGTTGTTACACCTGACCCAGAATCTGGGTTACACAAAAACTACCCAAACACTGGGTTGTTTACGCCTGACTCAGGATCTGGGTTACACAAATCTACCCAAACACTGGGTTGTTACGCCTGACCCAGGATCTGGGTTACACAAAAACTGTTCAAACACTGGGTTGTTGCATCTGACCCATGACCTGGGTTACACAAAAACTACCCAAGCACTGGGTTGTTACGTCTGACCCAGGATCTGGGTTACACAAAAACTGTTCAAACACTGGGTTGTTGCATCTGACCCATGACCTGGGTTACACAAAAACTACCCAAGCACTGGGTTGTTACGCCTGACCCAGGATCTGGGTTACTCAATAACTACCCAAACACTGGGTTGTTATGTCTGACCCAGGATCTGGGTTACCCAAAAACTACCCAAACACTGGGTTTTTACGTCTGAACCAGGATCTGGGTTACACAAAAACTACCCAAACACTGGGTTGTTACGTCTGACCCAGGAGCTGGGTTACACAAAAACTACCCAAACACTGGGTTGTTACGTCTGAACCAGGATCTGGGTTACACAAAATCTACCCAAACACTGGGTTGTTACACCTGACCCAGAATCTGGGTTACACAAAAACTACCCAAACACTGGGTTGTTACGCCTGACTCAGGATCTGGGTTACACAAATCTACCCAAACACTGGGTTGTTACGCCTGACCCAGGATCTGGGTTACACAAAAACTGTTCAAACACTGGGTTGTTGCATCTGACCCATGACCTGGGTTACACAAAAACTACCCAAGCACTGGGTTGTTACGTCTGACCCAGGATCTGGGTTACACAAAAACTGTTCAAACACTGGGTTGTTGCATCTGACCCATGACCTGGGTTACACAAAAACTACCCAAGCACTGGGTTGTTACGCCTGACCCAGGATCTGGGTTACTCAATAACTACCCAAACACTGGGTTGTTACGTCTGACCCAAGATCTGGGTTACACAAAAACTACCCAAGCACTGGGTTGTTACGTCTGACCCAGGATCTGGGTTACACAAAAACTACCCAAGCACTGGGTTGTTACGTCTGACCCAGGCTATGGGTTACAAAAAAACTACCCAAACACTGGGTTGTTGCGTCTGACCCAGGAGCTGGATAACACAAAAACTACCCAAACACTGGGTTGTTACATCTGACCCAGGATCTGGGAAAAAAAAAAAACACAAATACTGAAAAAATAACCTCAAACATTTACCCAAAAGGCTTAACCCAGGATTTGGGTAGTAAATAACTGTAGATATTCGAGTGTTCAGTGCTTCAGAGAGATAACCACAGACTCCGAGTGTTTTCCTGCAGGGACAGAGTGACTGACGCTGTAGCAGATCAAGACTCGAAGAAAAGAAAGACCCGTCTTCATCTGACAAGTGTGTTTAAACAAGCTGTGTCTCATATTCCTTCGTCTCATCCTCTCACAGAGAAACTCTACTGACACTTCATGTCAAAATATTGATGTAAAATACATGGACGTAATTCACTGATCCGTGTGTGTGTGTGATGCTGTCGTCTGCAGATAACAGAGCTCAATTAAAGCTTTTATTTTTATGTTCTTTACTTTCTATTTCTGTTCTGCTGTTTTGGAACAAAAGCACGTAGTAGAAACTGAGTTGATTTGAAATACACCACCGTTCAATGGTTTGGTGTTGGGAAGATTTTTAATGTTTTGAAAGGATCTTCTGCTCTGCAAGGCGACATTTAATTGGTCAAAAATACAGTAAAAATTGTAAAATATTATTAGAATTTAAAATATCTGTTCTCTATGTGAATATATAATAAGTGTAATTTATTCCTGTGTATTTTCAGCAGTCTTCAGTGTCACATGATCCTTCACAAATCACGAAACATTTATGATTATTATCAGTGTTGAAAACAGTTCATATTTGTCATAATCATCAAGATTATAACAAATAAAGGCTTGAAATATCTCACTTTGCATGTAATGAGTCTATATAATATATTAGTTTCACCTTTTAAGTTGAATCACTGAACTTTTGCACAATATTCAAATTCGAATTTCGAATTTTAATTTCTAAATATTCGAATTTAAAATATCAAAACAGATATTTTAAATTCTAATAATATTTCAAAATTTTTACTGTATTTTTGATCAAATAAATGTTAGTTCATGTCTTTATTTTTATTTATTTTTTTCATATTTTATCTGTTCAAAATCCAAGCCTTAGAAACAAGCTGAAATAAAATACATTTATTATATTTTAAAATATTTCAGTTTTTCTTTCACGCAACACATTTTTTATGGTTTTATCAATGCCAGCACATATGATATATGTTTAATAATGTGTAAACAGCTGACGGGAACACGAGGGACGTTTAGCGTGTGACAAACGCTCGGCATTTTGCCACAAACTCCACAGATGACACCAGAGTCCTCTCATTAGACATCGCATGCTGCAGTTCCTGGATCAGTCCTCCGTCACAGATAACCAGAGGTGTTTAACAGCCGACGCTTTGTCTTAATGTTTGCGCGGCTCATTGAAGGACGAGGCCAAGTGTTTATTGCTCAGGAATAAATTGCCCAGTTGAAAGTCCTACATCACTGAAGAGGACTTCAATTAACCTTTATCAAGCGCTGGCCTGGAGTCAGGAGATATATGCATCATGGGTGAAGGTCAGCCCAAGCGGTTTTTATCTGGAATTAATAATGAAACGCCTCAGAGATGTGTGTATATGACGCAGAAAGATGATGGATGAAGCTCATCAATAAATAACACACACAATCCACCTCTTGTACATCCATTGCACTTCTGAGCGAGCGCTGGTGAAGAAGCTTTAACAGGTGTTTAACGCGCCGCTAATCTACACGCGTTTATGAGTGATGATAGTGGAGATCCTCAAGGGCAGATTCGGGGGAAATTGAGTTTGCCGTTTCATATCTTGAGCTTATCCTGATAACGCACTTTGAGAACGATTGAAAATGCTTTAGCGCTTCTGTTAGAACGAGCAATGTGATCATAAATAATGTGTCAAAACCAATGTTCCTACATTTTTTGTTTGAAGAAATACCTGAATACATTTTGAGTCATTCTGTTTCTCCGGTAAATGTGTCTTGATATAAGAATATTTAGATATTTGTGCTGGAAAACGAGACATTTTTTGCCTGTGATGTTCATAATATACAGTGTGAGGTGCTGAAACTTAAAAATAACTTAAAAATGTTTTTTTTTTTTTCACCCAGCAATGCCTTAAAATAATAATATTTCAGTGATTTTCCATTTCTTAAAACATTTAAAGCTACACTGTGTGATTTTTACCCCCATCTAGTGGCGAAAAGGTATACGACCATCCAGTGAATATTAGTTTCTGTTCCTCTCAATTCTGATTTCGTTTTAACTCCTACGGTGGCCAATGTAGTCCAAGATTAACGTGGCTTCCGGTTCGACCTCGTCCATGAGTGTTAACACGAACGTAAACGCGAAAGGCGAAGCTTATGTCCCTCTTTGGCTAATGTACTTTCAACATGGCGACCGACATTAGAACCCCTTACCCGTACACTCTTAGAAGAAATGGTTCTATTTAGAACCAGGAATGGTTCCTTCCATCCCCCGCTTAATGGAACTCCAAAATGGTTCTATATAGAACCATTTTTTCTTTGATAAAAGGTTCTATTGGCCAAGTATAGAACCCCAGGAACCCAGAGGAACCCTTTTTTAAGCGTGTATAGAACCTTTTAGGGGTTCCAAATACGTAGCACTGATAGAACCTTTTAAGGTTCTATATAGAACCTTTACTTCTAAGAGTGTATGTATTTTCAATGGCATTAAACACTCACGAGAATACTTTATTACTTGAACAAATTAATGAGCACATATATTTTTGAAAGAACTAAGTGTTTTTAGCTAAGAATAAACTAAAAGAGTTACACAGTGTAGCTTTAAGTAATCTAATGAACCTTTTTCTATTGATGACAATAAAAAACTGTTATTTTAGATTAAGACTCCTAATCAGTGTTATTTTTGTATAATATACGATTAAATATTTTTTATACATATTTTGAATGATTTTTTTTTTTTACATTTTTATATCTTCTGTTTGAGTGCATGTGCAAAATATTTTATATTTACAGTGTAAATTTTCTTCTCACTGCCTCTCTTGCCTTATTGGTGTGTTAGTTTATTAGCATTTGTTCAATTATAGTGTTTTTTTTAAATATTTAGGACTTACTAAAATATGTTGTCAAATAATATTCGCTATTACTTCAATGCAAGTGAACAAGCGCACCGTTATTTGTTGTGTAGTGTGTTCAAGTATGCCAGAAATGAGCAGATTCTGCAATACGCTGTATTTAATATATCATGAGGATAAATCTGTGCAGAATTACACGAACTTCCCAGCAAAGTGAGAAAATATAATAACACGCCAACTTGGCTCGTGGTTTGACAGTGTTGCCCTCAAAAGATCATTTTACCCACATTTTTCACGTGTTCATTTCAAACCCTGCATATACTGAAGATATACTGATAATAGCCCTGCACCTAATTCAGTGATGCTGAATCAGTAATATGTGTGTGTGTGTGTGTCCAGTTGGTGATCTTCCAGATGCCGTTGTGTTGCAGGTTTCCTCAGCACTGGAGATCAGGCGGCGAAGGGGAACTACGGTCTCCTGGACCAGATCCAGGCCCTGCGCTGGGTGAAGGAGAACATCCAGGCCTTCAACGGCGATCCGGAGCGAGTGACCATCTTCGGCTCGGGAGCAGGAGCCTCGTGTGTCAGTCTGCTCACCCTCTCACACTATTCTGAAGGTGTGTAAGCTGAAGGGCCCTGTTATGCTCATGGTCTAAAGGTGCACTCATGGCATGTCCGAATCCACGGGACAAATGGTCGGTGCTCCCGGCGCTGGTCTAAACGGGTCGTCCCTATTCTCTTAATGAGTGATGGGTGTGTGTTGTCTCTATTCTCTAACTGTAAAAGCGGCTCAACGTGAACTTCAACTGCATCTGATCTGAGTTTAAGACGATTTAACCTTCATTTAGGAATGAAACGTGCGGCAAACATCTAATACTTGTAATTAGAGGATAAACAAGAGAGAAGCTTTAAGGATCCCTGCTGTTTTCTGTCAGAATAAAGGCTTAACGTTTTAAAGAAATTAAGAAAGGCAGAAATGTTTGTATTGTCATTTTACAGTTAAAAAACATGCATAAAAAAATGTATCATAATATTTCTTAAACACTTGATTTTTTAAATTAATTTTACAGTGAAATATTACACAGCAAAAAAAAAAAAAATGTTTTCTTGTCGTCTTTCCTGATTCTTGTATCAAATTCAAGACACATTTACTGGAGAAGCAAAATGACTGAAGATATGAAGTATTTTATGCTGAAAAAAGTTTATGTTTATGCTTAAAACAAGAACAAATATCTGGCAATGGGTCAGTAAAATAATCTTGTTTTCCCTTTGAATTAATTACATTTTTCTGACCCCATTGGCTGATTTTTTTTTTCTTCTTGATTTAACATAAACTTTTTTCAGCAGTAAAGACTTAATATCTTGTTTTATGTGTTTTCACACTTAGTAATTTTGCTTCTCCTGGAAATGTTTAAAATCCCCTTGTAATCAATCGTTTTATCCCTTAAAACCAAATTGTCTTCATCCCTTAAAATATCTTGAATGTAACTCGACACCCTCGTCTCATTTAGTATGCACGGTTCTATGAATATGCAAATGAGCCCCACCTCCACTCACTCTGAGATCCACTGGTTGACCTGATTAGTTACAAGGTGGTTTGTGACGTCAGAAACACCAAAGCGTGTTTTTGAGACTGTCTTTGGTTCACTGCAGTTTTAAGGAGGAAATACTCAATCCTCAATGTGTATCAACTTACACATGGTGTGTGTTAAAGCATATTAAAAAGACCACATACACACATTAACAACATTAAACGCTGGATTTTCACCACAGGAGGACTTAAACATTTTGGCTTTCAAAAAACAGTCAACAGAAAAATCCTTAAATCATGAATGTGTGTTTCATGACTCTCTAACAGTGTGTGTTTGTGTCTCAGATCTGTTTCAGAAAGCAATCATTCAGAGTGGCACGGCTCTCTCCAGCTGGGCCGTCAACTACCAGCCGGCCAAATACACACGCATGCTGGCCGAGAAGGTCGGCTGCAACGAGGACGACACGGTGGAGCTGGTCCAATGCCTCCAAAACAAAAACTACAAGGAGCTCATCGAACAAAACATCACCCCTGCCAAATACCACATCGCATTCGGGCCCGTGATCGACGGAGACGTCATTCCGGACGACCCGCAGATCCTCATGGAGCAAGGAGAGTTCCTCAACTACGACATCATGTTGGGAGTCAACCAGGGCGAGGGATACAAGTTCGTGGACGGGATCTTAGACAGCGAGGACAGAATAACCGGAAACGACTTTGAGTTCGCAATTTCTGAATTCGTCGACCACTTGTACGGCTATCCGGAAGGAAAAGATACCCTGCGGGAAACCATAAAGTTCATGTACACGGATTGGGCGGACAGGGAAAACCCGGAGATGCGCAGGAAAACGTTGGTTGCGCTTTTCACGGATCACCAGTGGGTGGCGCCGGCCGTGGCCACAGCGGATCTGCACGCTCAATACGGGTCGCCCACGTACTTTTACGCCTTTTACCACCATTGCCAGAGCGATATGAAACCCGCCTGGGCCGATTCTGCACACGGAGACGAGCTTCCGTATGTTTTCGGCATTCCCATGATCGGACCCACGGATCTGTTCAACTGCAACTTTTCCAAGAATGACATTATGCTGAGCGCCGTCGTCATGACGTACTGGACGAACTTTGCCAAAACTGGGTGAGTACATGATGACGCATGTGTTTACATGAACTAAACGAGTTAGTGGGGGAAAAAACATCGCTATCTCACGACCAATTCGTACGAGGGATTAAAAAGTGGCTAATTCGTACCTCACTCGTACGAATTCGTATGATTTGTCTAAACCCATGTGATGGGTAGTTTTAGGGGCGGGGTTAGGTGTAGGTCATTCGTACGAATTCATACGAATTAGCCACCTTGTAAAATTCGTACGAATTGCCGTGAGATCATTTGTCTCGTTTTTCTTTACCAATACCTAAATATTCGTAAATCAAGATACGGACTTGCCACAGGAATTTAAATTTGATTGAAATTGATTTTGAAAGGAAGAGTACATTATTATTAATACATCAAAATAACCTAAATTAAATTCAAATTAACGAAAAAATCAACATTGAAACAGAAATCATGTTGCTTTTTATTTTCCTCTTAATAACGTCTTTTTATTGACGAATATACAGTTCTGTGATATAGAAAAAAATGATTCATGGTTATTTCATGTAATATATTTAGCTGAATATTTTCAGCTTCAGAATCATCAACATTGGGTTACAGCACCAAGTCCAACTCTATTCATTTACACCTAAAATGTAAAACCAGATTTAGCATTTTAATCAACGGTACAATTTTTGTTAACCTTTTACCATATGTCTTGGAGTATCGCAATAATATCGTACCGTGATGTGTATCGAATCGTGATGTGGGTATCTTTACACTTCTAATATACACTACCAGTCAAACATGTTGAATCGGTAAGATTTTTAATGTTTTTTTGGTTTTATTTGATTAAAAATGCACCAAAACAACTGTAATGTTGTTAAATATTATGGCAATTTAAAATAACTGTTTTCTATTTAATATATTTTAAAATGTATTTTATTCCTGTGATCAAAGCTGAATTTTCAGCTTCATTACTCCAGTCTTCAGTGTCACTTGATCCTTCAGATATCACTCTAATATGATGATTTTATGCTCAAGAAACATTTATGATTATTATCAATGTTGAAAACATTTTTTTCAGGATTCTTTAATGAATAGAAAGTTATAAATCTTTTGTATTTGTTTTTTTGTTGTTGTTGCATTTTTAACCAAATCAATGCTATTCAAAAACACAAAAAATCGTGCTGATACAAAACTTTTGACTAGTTTTGTATAATGCACATTAAAGGCAAACTGTGTTGCTCTACTTCACAGAGACCCAAATCAACCAGTTCCTCAAGACACCAAATTCATCCACACTAAACCGAACCGCTTTGAGGAGGTGGCCTGGTCGAAGTACAACCCTAAAGACCAGCTGTACCTTCACATCGGCCTGAAGCCTCGTGTTCGCGACCACTACAGAGCCACCAAAATCGCCTTCTGGTTGGAGTTAGTGCCACACTTGCACAACATCAACGAACTCTTCCAGTACGTCTCATCGACGACTAAAATCCCACCGCAAGACACGACGCCTTTCTCCTACACCAAACGCTTGTCCAATAAACTCTGGCCTTCGACCACTCGCCATCCTCCCGCTCCTCCAGCAAACACCAAACAGATGTCGGATCAGCAGAAAACATCGGAGCACGCCGACGGGACGGTCATCATCGAAGCGCGGGATTATTCCACCGAACTGAGCGTGACGATCGCCGTCGGGGCTTCGCTTCTCTTCTTAAACATCCTTGCATTCGCGGCGCTTTACTACAAAAAGGACAAACACCGGCTAGAGTCGAGTCGCAGACTCAGTCCTCCGAGAAACCTAGCGAACGACATTCCCCGCGTCCCGAGCGAAGAGTTGATGTCCCTGCAGATGAAACAACTCGATCACGATCGCGATCACGATCACGACTGCGATTCGCTGCACGGCCACGACATGATCCACCTGAGCTGTCCGCCCGATTACGCGCTAACGTTGCGCCGGTCGCCCGACGACGTGCCGCTAATGGCGCCGAACACCATCACGATGATTCCCAGCTCTTTCGCGGGAATGCAGCCGTCGTATCACAACCCGTTTAACGCGTTCGGGAACAACACTCCGAGCAGCACGGGTCTCCCTCATGGACACTCCACGACGCGAGTATAACGGACTCTTCGATGCGCACCCAAACGCTGAGGGTGTTATTTTGCTACGGACTCTTTTATGAATTAAGTAACGTTACACTTATTAACCTGTATAATGTGATCAGTGAATGTAATCATTTTTCGCATTCATGGTACAGTGACCGACCGAAGCACTCAAAAAATATTATTACGTCAAATTAAGGAATATTATTTGCATCCTGATTTCCTGATTAACGTGTGTGGCGATTTATCGATTTATCGTGGCATTGCAGCGCTAAAACCTGCATCTTAAGGCCCGTTCACGCCAAGCATGATAACGATAAAAATAAAAATATAGATTCGTTTAAATGTAAAAGACTGTTCAGGGGTGCGTTTCCCGAAAGCATCGTTAGCCAACTATGGTTGCAAGTTCCATCGTTACTAATAGAGTTCAATGGAAATTGCGACCAACTTGCGACCATAGTTGGCTAACGATGCTTTTGAGAAACGCACACCAGAACGACTTTTTTTCCAACTGGTGAATGATAAATACATTGACAGCTGATTGGAATCCATCCTTCCTTAAAGAGTGTGAGTATTTAAATTGACAGACAACAAAACTGCAGCTCTGATAATAGAATCGTGCGTTGGTGTGGATGCTAATATAGTTGTAGTTATAATTTTGATGTCAAACCTTCAGGCCTTATGCACAGATATCATGTTCAGACACGTGTTGGATTTTTAACCACCCAGAATGCCCCAGCAACCACCTAGCAACCACCCAGAATGCCCCCGCAACCACCTAGCAACCAACCAGAATGCCCCCAACAAACGCTGAGTAACCACCCAGAATGGCCCAGCAACCACCTAGCAACCACCCAGAATGCCCCAGCAACCACCTAGCAACCAACCAGAATGCCCCCAACAAACGCTGAGTAACCACCCAGAATGGCCCAGCAACTGCCTAGCAACCACCCTGAATGTCCCAGAACACCTACAACCACCCTGAATGCCCCACATTGCGCCGGATGCCCCAAAAACAACATGCTGCTAATGGCACTGAACACCATCACGACTCACCGTCGTATCACAACCCGTTTAACGCGTTCGGAAACAGCACTCCGAGCAGCACGGGTCTCCCTCATGGACACACCATGACGCGAGTATAACGGACTCTTCGATGCGCACCCAAACGCTGAGGGTGTTATTTTGCTACGGACTCTTTTATGAATTAAGTAACGTTACACTTATTAACCTGTATGTTAATGTTATTATTTTTCGCATTCATGGTACAGTGACCGACCGAAGCACTCAAAAAATATGATTACGTCAAATTAAGGAATATTATTTGCATCCTGATTTCCTGATTAATGTGCATTGCAGCGCTAAAACCTTCATCTTAAGGCTCGTTCACACCATGATAACAATAACGAAAACGATAAAAATATAGATCGAACGATATCAGTGGAATCACTTTCAGATCGACTTTTTTTTCAGCTGATGAATGATAAATATGTTGATGGCCAATCAGAATCCATCCTGCATTTAAAGAGTGTGAGCATTTAAAGTGACAGTGAGCATTTAAAGTATACCGAAACTGCAGCTCTTGTAATAGAATTGTGCATGGGTGTGGATGCTAATATAGTTATTGTTATAGTTTTGATGTCAGCACTTCCGGCCTGATGCACAGATTTCATATTCAGACATGTGTCAGATTTTTAACCACCAAAAACATCCCAGCAACTGCCTAGCAACCACCCAGAATCCCCCAGCAACCGCCTAGCAACCACCCAGAAAACCCCAGAAACCACCTAGCAACCACCCAAAATGCCCCAGCAACTGCCTAGCAACCACCCAGAATGCCCCAGCAACCGCCTAGTAACCACCCATAATTCCCCAGCAACCACCCAGAACACACAAGCAACCGCCTACCAACCACCCAGAACACCCCACTAATCACCTAACAAACACCCAGAACGCCCCAGCAACTGCCTAGCAACCACCCAGAATGCCATAGTAATCACCTAGTAACCACTCATAATTCCCCAGCAACCACCAAGAACACCCCAGCAACCGCTTAGCAACCACCCAGAATCCCCCAGCAATCACCAGAACACCCCAGCAACTGCCTAGTAACCACCCATAATTCCCCATCAACTGCCTAGCAACCACTCAGCACCCCCCATCAACTGCCTAGCAACCACCCAGAATCCCCCAGCAACCACCCAGAACACACCAGCAACCGCCTAGCAACCACCCAGAACACCGCAGCAACTGCCTAGTAAAAACCCAGAACGCCCCAGCAACTGCCTAGCAACCACCCAGAACGCCCAAGCAACTGCCTAGTAACCACCCATAATTCCCCAGCCACCGCATAGCAACCACCCAGAGCACCCCAGCAACCACCCAGAACCCCCAGCAACCGCCTAGCAACCACCCAGAAACCCAGAAACCACCTAGCAACCACCCAGAATGCCCCAGCAACTGCCTAGCAACCACCCAGAATGCCCCAGCAACCGCCTAGTAACCACCCATAATTCCCCAGCAACCACCCAGAACATTCAAGGAATCGCTTAGCAACCACCCAGAATGCCCCAGCAATCGCCTTGTAACCACCCATAATTCCCCAGCAAACACCAAGAACACCCCAGCAACCGCTTAGCAACCACCCAGAACACCGCAGCAATCACCCAGAATCCCCCAGCAATCACCAGAACACCCCAGCAACCGCCTAGTAACCACCCATAATTCCCCAGCAACCGCCTAGCAACCACCCAGCACCCCCCCCCATCAACTGCCTAGCAACCACCCAGAATCCCCCAGCAACCACCCAGAGCACCCCAGCAACCACCTAGCAACCACCCAGAACACCCCAGCAACCGCCTAGCAACCTAGCAGTGATCGTGCGTGGAGTGAACGGGCCTTAACTCCTGTGAAAGCAGCAGGTGAAGGTGTGAACATGTTATTGTTGGTGACAGCAGTAATATCAGGCGTATATGCAGATTTAGGTGTGTGAATCGCAGCGGTGGAATGATGCTGGTAAAATCAGATGCTCAGAACCGGCCGACAGGACAGGGATTTGCTCACTCAGTTTTGAGGCTGTTTTTTCACTGTTACCTGATATTCATAATTATGTATGCTGTAGAAAGACCATAACGTCTTTCAGACGGACACAGACATGGATAGATTGAATTTCCCTCTAATGTTCTAGAGTGGGTTCTGTCTGTCATTATGGGAGCATTGTGTGGTGCTTTAAGAGGATTTATTAAAAAGATTTAGTCTCTGTGCCAAATTAAACTTTAATTAACCACGTTCCCAGTGTTTTTCAAAGTGTGACCCAAAAAGTGCATGAATAGAAAAGGAAAAACCTTGTTTGAGGAGCCACACGTGTCACATCTTAATCCTGAGATCAGGTTGCAGTGTTGAAACTCTGAGAGGATCTTCTGTCAGATCTTAAAGGTGCTTTCAGCCAGTCTGCAAACTCAATCCCACCTTATCACAGAACACGCTATAAACGATTGGCTGGTGGAGACGAGAGTTTCTGATTGGCTAAAACTGTTTTCTTCTGATTTCTTACAGCACATGTTTCTGTGATATCTGTAAGGCTGTAGCAGTGAAATTTTTTTTTTTTTTTGACGGGGGGGATGGGGGAGCCACAATATATATATATATACACATATAAATAGGCTATATATAAATTTAAACTTGTGTTAAATTAGAATTGAATTAAAATTGAACGTGTTTGTAACCCATTCAAAATACCAAAATGTGTTTTGTTCAGTTGTGCAGACAAACAACATAACATGAGGATTCACACATCGTCTCGTGCAGCGCTTCTGTGGACGGAGATAAACAAAATATATGTACGAAGCTGAGATTCGATTGATTTTTGTGACGCTCTCCGCAAACTTCACGGAAAGGAAATCGAGACGGCAGAAAGCGGCTGTTTGTGTTCTTTATTTTACAAAAGCACAATGTTTTGTTTTTATTGTCAGTGTACAAATTACACAAATTACATTTTCGAATGATGTCTTACTCTTATCTGTATGACCATAAATGACGTAGTAATATTAAGCGTAATATTGAACTTTATGCATCCGCCATTGTCACCACCGCATGCTAATGAACTGTCACGCGCAAAAAAAAAATCCATAATTTTTCATTTTAAAGGATTAGTTCACAATTTCCTGATAATTTACTTTCCGTCATCCAATATGTTCATGTCTTTTCACACTCAAGTATTTCTCCATATAATGGACTTCAATGGGGTCCAACGGGTCGAAGGTCCAGATGTCCACGACTTCATGCATTACGTGATCACATTGAAAGGCCCCGCGGTTGAGCGAAAAACTCCATCTTACGTTTTCCTCCAACTTCAAAATCGTTTAAAATCGATGTTTTACCTTTTTTTTGTAAATGGCGTTTGTCTCAGTCTTTGCACGTTCACTTTGTAAACACTAGATCTGTTCTTACGCCTACGTCCCGCTTGACCTTTCACCCTGATCTCGTAATGTGTGTCGCATCACAGCGAGAGCAAGACCAGCATTAGTGGTTAAAGTATATAAATGTGTGTTTTGTTGTAAAGATCAGACTCTTTTTCCTCGGCTGGATCGTGTCGAGACTTTGAAACTCACGTCTGGACCTTCGACCCGTTTGGACCCCATTGAAGTCCATTATATGGAGAAATCCTGGAGTGTGTTCTTCAAAAACCTTGAGCATCTCGGATGACGTGGGGGATTTTAATTCTGAAATGAACCACTCTTTAAAGGATTAGTTCACTTTTGAAAAAACTTTTGCTGATAATTTACTCACCCCCATGTCATCCAAGATGTCCATGTCTTTCTTTCCTCGGTCGAAAAGAAATTAAGGTTTTTGATGAAAACATTACAGGATTTTTCTCCTTATAATGGACTTCAATGGGAACCAGGTCCAACCGAGGTCCAAAAGACAGTTAATAACAGTTTCAGATGCAGCTTCAAATGTCTTTAAACGACACCAGACGATGAATAAGGGTCTTATCATGCGAAACGATCCGTTGTTTCAAAGCTTATTCCAAAAATGTAACTTTTCTAAGGACAAATGCTAGCCTTTCTCCATTCTGTGAGGCGCGTTTGCAACGTCACGTAATACGTAATTACGTTCAAAAGGTCACGGGCGACGTAGCCAGAAGTACAGAGTCAGTGTTTACAAGTTGAACGCATAGGTTGAACGCGCAAACTAACTCAAACGCCGTTTACAAAAAAGGAATTAAAAGGTAAAACAACGATGTCGGACGATTTTGATTCTGTATTTCCGGCTACGTCGCCCGTGACCTTTTGAACGTAATTACGTATTACGTGACGTTGCAAACGCGCCTCACAATATATTACAAGGCTAGCATTTGTCCTTAGAAAAGTTACATTTTTGGAA